AGCTATGGAATATCACCACTTGAAACTTTGTGAGAATACAGAAATATTTGTTCATTAATAGCCACATGTCTAGATATATAAACTTTATTTGTTAAAGGATCAATGCATCTTTATCCTTTGTGAAGAGGACTATATCCAATATAGACACATGGAAAGGTTCTTTTACAAAATTTATTTTGATTTTAGTGCCTTAAATAAGGAAAACATTTACAGCCAAGGACCTTTAAAATACTATAATCAGGATGTCTGCCAAACAATTTGAAATATGGTGTCTCCATTTTTAGAGAAGATGATGGGAGACGGTTTATTAAATATGTTGCTGTAAGAAAGGCATCTACCCAATACCTGAGTGGTAGATTTGCATGAAAAATCATGGTGAGACCAGTTTCCTCAACATGTCTATGCTTTTTTTCTATAATTCCATTTTTTTCGGGTGTGCTTGAACAGGACAATTGTTGAGCTATGCCACAAAGAGCAAGATGGTTAGTGAATAGTGTGGAAGTGAACTCACCCCCTCCATTACTTTGAAATTTTTTGATTTTCCTATCAAATTGATTCTCAACAAGTTTTTGAAATTTTAAGAAACTTTCATAAAAATCAGATTTGTGCTTGAGAGGATATAACCAAGTATATCTCGTGCAATCATCAATAAAAATAACATAATAACGAAAATTTTGAATAGAAGAAATAGGAGCTGGCCCCTATAAATCACAATGTATTTTTTCGAAAGGACATTGGCATAACTTATTACTATCATGAAATGAAAGTTTGCAGCGCTTCCCTAATTGACAACTAGTACAAATAGAATGTCTATTTAGCCAACTAGAAATGCTTAGCACGTCTTTTTTATTGAGAACTTGTAAAATTTTTGAATGGGGGTGTCCCATTCGTTGATGCCACAAATCCGAAAAAGCTGAAGGAGATTTGACTGCTGCAAATGCTTATAATTTTGCTTCTTCAAGAGCATATAATTGTCCTCTTTTATGCCTCTTCGCTAGTGTCCTTTGACTTTGATCCTTTGTCACAAAACATTAGCATTGAATTCAATACTACAAGGATTATCTTCAGTAAATTGACTAACAGATAGTAGATTTTTCTTAAGCTTAGGAACTACAAGGACATTTTTTAAATTTAAATTTCCATATGGGGGGGGGGGGGGGTGCATTACTAGTGTGTGAGATGGATACTTTATTTCCATTTCCTACATAAATGACATCATGTCCATTATAAGCATGTACTAAAGAAAGCTTACCAACATCATTTGTCATATGTGTTGTTGCTCCCGAATCCGCATAGAAACTTAGGTCAGTTTCTTGTAGAGATAGAGCCGCAAAACTTTTAGGCATCTCATCTTCTTGTTAAGCATAATCGTATCTGTAAAAGCATTTAATGGCAGTGTGGTTGGTTCTTCCACATATTTGGCATTTGATTTCTTCTTCATCTTGTTTGTTAGTGTTGCTTCGTCCATTGCCAATGAAGTTTTTCCAACCATTGTTTGATTTGCCATTGTCTCGATTTCCTGAATAGTTTTGAGAGGGATAGAAATTCTGGTTGTTTGATTGATTTGCTTGAGCGAACCTTCTCCCTCTGTGATTAAAATGTCCCCCTCTGTTGTTTCTTCCTCGCCCTATTTGTCCAAAGAAGGCTTGTGTTTTGTAACGACCTAAACCCATATGTTTGAACCGTTAGCTAGGTCCTTAACCGAACCCGAGGTTAACTAGGGACAATACCATTCTTTCCTACGTCAATACATATTATACGTGTCATTCTGGGTTTACAAAAAAAATAAGTAATAATAAATAAATAAATAATAATAATAAAATGAGATTATAGTTGCAAAGTATGTCAAAACGGTCTACTAACCCATCAAACCCTGTGGAGGAGCGTCGTCCACCACTTGCCATCCATGTCTTGAAAAATATTAAATATAAGGGGTGACCAAATTGCTAAGTAGGTGGTGCCTAAAACACACTTCTTGCGACCCCGTGAATCCACACAATGAATAGAAATAGGGAATAGAGATCATACTATGCCGGAAAGGAATACAACATAAATTTTAATTTCATGATAAAAAATGTCGTGCCATGATATGCAATGCCATATATGTCACTCCCCTTACTTAAAAACATTTCCATTCTTCACTTTTCAAACCGTTAACCCTTCGGTAACCCCTCAGCAACGAGAGAAGGATTGGCTACTATCCTTGACCCTTGGTACGCCCGCGGCTTCATTTGGGGTCCAGATAGCTCAACCACGCTAGGGCGATCTCCTTAATTCCCTCTAGGTTACATTAACGCCACGGACCCTCGGTACCCCCTTGGCGTCCAGGTTTTCACAAAATTCTTTTCTCAAATTTTTATTTTTATTTTTATTTTTTATTTTACTCCTTTTTCATTTCAAAACATTTCCCTTCCTTCATGCCCAATGACATGCATGTATATCTCATGCCTTCAATACTATGGAAATGGAAAAAAAAATTATTATTTCCCAATTAACATGCTTCTTCATACAAGTTTCTAGCAAGTTAGTAAGCATCATAGGTATGGAGAATTAGCACATAAAGCATACTCTTTCATACAATTCAATTAAATACACATACTCACTTGCTTCATATACACAATCAAGTTAATTAAGGAGCAATTTACACAATTTAGCAAAATCAAACACAATAGGCATAGAGATTCACCACTTAAACATGCTTTTATATACTACATCAATTAGTTCACATAATTGCATACTTTAAATACACAATTAAGTCATTTAAAGGAATATTCAACACAATTGAGCATGCTATATAACAAAACACATAGAAAATCTCACAAAGGAGTAAGAAGTTGTGGATTAAGAATCCCTACCTCTTAGGATGCAAAAACCCTCAAAATGGGTCTTAATTTTCGAACTTCCTAGAGTGGCCAAAAGCTGAAATTGCTGGTATGGATTTGAAGGTCTCGTTGTGAGCTTTATTTTGCCACAAACGGCACTCAAAAATTCTAAAGGATGAAGGAGAAATCTTGGATTGAAGATTGAAATCTAAAAGAAAAAGAAAAATCCAGAAGAAGAGGGAGAGAAAGAGAGCTATGGCAGGGTGAGAAGAAATGAATGACCAAGTGGTCTCTAGACCACTTTAAGTGGTTGTGGGCCCTACCTAGAATTTTATTTTCTTTTTCTTTTATTTTTAACCTCATTTTACACCACACACATATAAATACATACACATACACATATTAAATTACCACCACATAAAATGCATTAAATAAAAATGATTATGGCGCAAATGGTCCCAACTAAAATCCCAGTAAGCAATAGTTGTAGTAGCGGGTCCCACACGGGACTGTCCGGTCCGAAAAACAGAAAAATGTAAAAATGACCACCCTTACATTTCAAAGAGTCCTGGACTCAATGAAATGGCCCAATCAACTCTTGAACATAATCGGCACACTCCACGGTGTCCCGTACGCAAAATAGGAAAAGATAAAAATGCCCTTACAACGACAAAATTCCAAAAAATTGGAAAATGGTGAAAATCGAAAACATCACATGTATGATCTCCAATTTTCTTCTCTTCTTCACGTTGTTCAGTTATCATTTGCTCATGATTCTGTAGAGAGAGAACAAACTGAGTAAATGAACGATATGGTGGCTTTAAAAACATTACCATTCGAAAATCTTGGTATTTAGGACCAAGCTCGCGAGCCAATTTGAAGACTTTTTCGGTTTCGAGAATCGACTTGTTGATCGATGCAAGGTTGTATAGCTTTGAATTTTCTAATATATTCTGTAATGGAAAAGGATTCTTTCTTCAAGCAAGCCAATGAATCCTTCAAATTCTCTTCTTGTTCAATGGTGTTTGGAAGTAATTGCTCTTCCAAGCTATTCCATATTTGTTTTGATGCTTCACTCCCCATGATCATGCTGAGTGTGTCCTCAGTCAGGATGTCCTCAGTTAGGATGCCCAGGAGCCATGAAACAAGTAGTCCGTCATTATGGAGCCATTGTATGTATTGCGAATTTGAAACTTTCTTTCCATCTTCTCTGCTCATTTCTTTAGCTGGTACATCATCTGTAAGATGGTGAGCTATCCCAAGACTTTTATTCAAGGGCAAGACTTGCGATTTCCAGACAAAAAAGTTAGAAGAACTTAATTTTATAGAAACAAGGCTAGCACATTAATGGAAGATTTGTATTGTATGTTTGGGTTCATCATGGGAATTGTTTTTAGAACTGAGGCTTGCCATTGGCTCTGATACCATAAAGAAATTGTAAAGAAATATAGAGAAAGAATGAGAAAAAGCAATGAATAGAAAAATAAATTTTATTCACTCTTTTTCCATGTATGGACATGTCTATTTATACAATAAAGAGGTCAATAATATACAAAAAAATCTGCTTGAAAAAAACCTTATTTAATTATAGAAATAGGTAATCCTTTAGATTTGGCATAAAAAATTGCCAAGTTTGTTTCCAACGGCTTTGCATCATGGGATTTTTTTGATCGTTTGGAGTAGTAATCTTCTTGCTCTTTTTTTATATGGTCATTAGTGGTAGGATCTTTATTTTTGGCAAGTGGATCATCATTGACTTTATTAGAGTCAACATTCAGATTGTGTGGATTTTGTTTAGCAACAAAATATGACTAGTTGTACCAATCAGATGGGCGGCATCATTGGCTTTAATTTAACAAAAAGAAACCAGCGAGGACTGCAAACAAATGACTTGAAAACCCAAGAGGTTAGTGTTATTATGAAAGCAAGTTGTACACACTTGTTGGAACAGCATTGTTCACTCATTGACCCACAAATTTGGCCCTTTGGAGGGGAAAGATTATTCAAAGAAAGCTAGCTGTTGGCAATGTCTCTCTACTCGGTAAAAATCAAAGAAAAATAAGAGACTGGCTTGGAAGTCAGTCACTGAGTTAATAATTTCTATCTATTTTAGTTCTTTGATATATGTAACAACCCAAGCATTTCTGTTTTCCTGAAATCAATTAACTTGTTCTAGCTATGGCTAATCCTCTGCTTCATCTCCTTTTGTTCGCACCCTTCCTCATGCCATTTTTTACTCTTGCTCAAGCCAATGGTAGATTAATGGTAGGAACATCTCTAACTGCAACTGATAAGACCACCCCTTGGCTTTCACCTTCGAACGATTTTGCATTCGGGTTTCATGAACTTAGTGATAAGGATTTGTTCTTGCTTTCCATATGGTTTGACAAAATACCCGACAAAACCATTGTTTGGTATGCAAATGAAGGTAAGCCTGTGCCAAGAGAGTCAAAAGTAGAGCTAACTGCAGACCGTGGGCTACTTCTAAGTGATCCTCAAGGCAATGAGCTATGGAGTTCTGACTCTGTTATTGATGAAGCTGGATATGGTTTTATGAACGATACGGGCAATTTTGTGCTCGTGCGTAGTGATTCTGTAAAGGTATGGCCCGTATGGGAGAGCTTCAAAAACCCAACTGACACCATGTTGCCTACGCAGATAATGGAGACTGATGGAGTGCTTTTTTCTCGCCTGAAAGAAACTAACTTCTCAAGGGGAAGGTTTCAACTTCATTTACTCCAAAATGGGAATCTTGTGCTTAATACCCAAAACAAGGAGACCAGTTGGGCTTATGATGCTTATTATTATATCAGTGGCACTAATGCTCCAAATTCAAGCAGTTCTGGTTACCTGGTGATCTTCAGTGAGACAGGTTACTTGTACATATTGAGAAGAAATGGACAAAGATTTGAGCTCACACCTAGAATGGTATTCCCAGTCAGGGACTACTATCACAGAGCAACTCTTGAGTTTGATGGAGTTTTCATCCATTATTCTCATCCGAAAACTTTCTCTGGCAATCCGGGTTGGACAGCATTTTGGTATGAGCCAGATAATATTTGTGTCAATATAGGGGGAGGGACATTAGGTAGTGGGGCTTGTGGGTATAACAGTGTTTGCAGGCTTAATGATTATCAAAGGCCAATTTGTGAATGCCCACAGGGGTTTTCATTGGTTGATCCTAATGATGAGTATGGCAGCTGCAAGCCCAATTTCACAGAAAGCTGTGAAGAAGATGGGACTACTTCTGCAGAAGATGCATACGGTTTTGTGGAGCTAATAGAGACTTTTTGGCAGACACCTAACTATGAGCAATTGAATCCTACTAGTGAAGTGGAGTGCAAAAAGTCTTGCTTGCAAGATTGTTTTTGTGCTGTTGCCATTTTCAGAAACGATAGCTGTTGGAAGAAGAAGCTGCCCCTCTCAAACGGCCGAAAGGACAGCAGTACTAAAGGGAAGGTTTTCCTCAAATATAAGAAAGGTAGTCTTCCTCCACAAAGTGATCGGCTTTCTTTTTCAGTCAAGAAAAAGAACCATGGGACTTTGATCCTTGTGGGATCAGTGCTCTTAGGTACTTCCTTTTTTGTCAATTTTGTATTGGTTGCTGCTTTTTGCTTGGGATTTTTCCTCATCTACCACAAGAAAATCATAAAAGTTGGCCGTGGCGATAACATTGTGGAAACAAATTTGCGTTGCTTCACCTACAAAGAGCTTGCAAAAGCTACAAATGGGTTTAAAGAAGAACTGGGAAGGGGATCTTTTGGTATTGTTTACAAAGGGTTAATACAAATGGTTGCTAGAAATTTTGTTGCTGTCAAAAAGCTTGATGGGGTGATTCAACATAGCGAGACAGCAGAGAAGGAATTCAAAACCGAAGTCAAGGTGATAGGCCAGACTCATCACAAGAATCTGGTTCGACTACTTGGATTCTGTGACGAGGGACAGCACCGAATGTTAGTTTACGAGTTCTTGAGTAATGGCACTTTAGCAAGCTTTCTTTTTGGAGATTTGAGACCGAGTTGGAGCCAAAGGAGCCAAATTGCCTTGGGGATTGCAAGAGGACTCTTGTATCTACACGAAGAGTGCAGCACCCAGATCATCCATTGTGACATAAAGCCTCAGAATATACTTCTGGATGATTATTACAATGCTCGGATTTCTGATTTTGGGTTGGCAAAGCTTTTGAAGATGCATCAGAGTCGAACAAACACCGGTATCAGAGGAACAAGAGGGTATGTTGCTCCTGAATGGTTCAGGAACAAGCCAATTACAGTGAAGGTTGATGTGTATAGCTTTGGTGTGTTGCTACTAGAGATCATATCTTGTCAAAAAAACGTGGAAAATTTGGAGATTGGTGGAGAAGAGAAAGCAATATTAACTGATTGGGTTTGTGATTGCTTTGAGGCAGGAAAACTTGATGCTTTGGTGGAAAATGATATGGAGGCCTTAAATGACTGGAAGAAGCTGGAGAGGTTTGTGATGGTTGGCATTTGGTGTATTCAAGAAGACCCTTCTCTAAGACCAACCATGAGTAAGGTTACCCAAATGCTGGAAGGAGTTGTTGAGATTCAGGTGCCCCCATCTCCATTTTCTACTACTGATTGAAATCAGAGAGTATGAGCTTCTTTTGATCTGGTTAGTGTTTTTATGGGTCAGTAATTGTCTGGTATGTCAATGTTTTGTTGTTTTGAGAACTCGAGAAGAGATTCTCAAGTAGAAACTATGTAGTATGATGTGCTTTAAGAGAGCAATATAATTTGCTTTTTAGGTTTTGATTTCAACAATGAAAATTGATTCCTTCATAGTGTTGAAATTGCAATGTAATCTTTTTTAGTTTTGTTTTTCTAATAAGTAATTTGCAGCCTAACCAGTATTGTTTTTGGAAGCTTCCGTCAATATGTTTGTTCATCTTTGTGGGATATGTTACATGCTTTAAACACATTGTTTGCCTTTTTGTTGTAGCCAGTTTTGTCTGCTATTGCCTTTGAACTTCTCATACCAGACTATATTTCACTTTTTCTGAACATAATTAATTAGGAGTGTGTAAAAAAATATGTCAAAATGTAACTATATTGATGAATTAGAAACCATCAAAGTAAATGATTTGGTTATATGAATATGTAACGTAATCATGAAAAGTATGCTAGCTGTACATATATTTATTAGAGATGCTATCACATAAAGTGGGAACGTGAGCGTGAGGGTGACAAAATTAAGTCATAAATAGTAAAAATTTAAACCAGATCGCATGCAGGGATTAAGAGTAGGAACGCGCTCGAAACGTGAAATGCTATCACATAAAGCAGGAACAGGAGCGTGAGAGTGACAAAATTAAGTCATAAATAGCGAGAATTTAAATCAGAGCGCGGGCAAAGATTAAGAGCGAGAACGCGCTCAGAGCGTGAGAGCGACACCCATCGAGAAAAATTGTGTGACTAGCTTAGATTAATTTAACCATTTCATTTATTTATTTATCTTAGTCCTTTAATTATTATTTTTATTTAATGTAAATGGAGAATAAGTATTTATGCAACTTTCTTTCTCTAGGAGGACCCATGCAGAAAACTGTGAATTTTGTGGAGGCCTGAAATTGTTCAGCTATTGTATCACTCTTATCAACTTTCTTGGTTGTATTGACTTCCCGATGTGCCATTGTTTCTTTATTTATGGTCTATGGCGCAGATTCCACTCATTGCTAATTAGTTTATAGTTTTTAGATTAGAAGAAGCATTCTCTTAATTTATTATACTTTATTTCCTTTTCTTTTGATTAGTTATCCATGTGGAGACCCGAATGCACTTTTGTGGGGACAACACTTGGTGGGCCTCACATCAAAATCTTGTTCTGCAACTCTGCATTTTTGTGGGACCTTTCACTATTCATTTACAATAAAATAAGTTAATCATATATTGTGTTTGCATAATAATTTAATAAAAAAAATATTAAAGAGTCACTCTTTGGTTTTTCAATTATTATTATTTTTTTAAATCTTTATAAATTCCACATTCAATTTGCTCAATTAAATTCGTCATAATCCATATAATGTCTTTTTATTTTATTAACTTATTTGTTAGAAAATATGTATATTCGTCATAATCCATATAACGTCTTTTTATTTTTTTATTTTATTTTATTAACCTATTTGTTAGAAAATATGTATAATGTATTTTATTTATTTTCTTTAAAATATGTATAATGTCAACAAATATAAGTTGTTGTATTTTAAATATTTATTTGTTAGAATATGCATAATGTCAATAAATATATTTTAGGGTGAACTACATTAAACCTCTTTTTTCTATCTGTATTTTTCACTAAACTCCCCTTTTCTATTTTTTTTGTCAAAAAACACCCCCTCAACTATTAGAGGGGGGGTGATTTAACTAACTTTCGTTAACTAACTATTAGAGGCAGGTGATTTAATTCTCAAATATATATATATATATATATATATATATATATATATAGCAAATAAATTTCAAGAAAAAAAAACCTAGATTTATATTGGAAAAAAAAAATTATACATTATTTCTGATAGTGTCCCTTTAATAAATCTATATAAAATGAAAATCAATAAAAACCAAATAAATAAATGCACAATATAAATATCATATATATATATATATATATATATATATATATATAACAAATAAATTTCAAGAAAAAAAAAACCTAGATTTTTTTCCTAAATAAAAAAAAAACCTAGATTTATATTGGTCTGAAGGCTAGATGGAAATGAAAATATATTTAAATAATATTTAATGATACATATTATATATACCATTATATTATGATACAAATTATATATAATATTATAATGATGGGTAAATAAAAGAAGTTGAATAAGAAGAAAAGTACATGTTGTTGTAATGGTTATTTTTTCAATATAAATCTAGGTTTTATTTCTTGAAATTTATTTGCTATATATATATATATATATATATATATTTCAGAATTATATTGTGCATTCATTTATTTGGTTTTTATTGATTTTCATTTTATATTGATTTATCAAAGGGCCACTACCAGAAATAATGCATATATATATATTTTTTTCCAATATAAATCTAGGGTTTTTTTTCTTGAAATTTATTTGCTATTTGCTATATATATATATATTTGAGAATTAAATCAACCCCCTCTAATAGTTAGTTAACGGAAGTTAGTTAAATCACCCCCCTCTAATAGTTGAATGGGGTTTTTTGACAAAAAAAATAAAAAAGAGGGGTTTAGCGAAAAATACAAATAGAAAAAGAGAGTTTAATGTAATTCACCCTATATTGTTAGAATATGTTTAATGTTAGAATATGCATAAGTTAATCAGTAATATAAAAAAATAGATTTTAGTCAATTACACCATTCAATGAAATTGAAAGAGATTGAGGCGCAACACAAATTATGGAGATGGAGATAAATAAGCAGGAGGTTGATTGGCAAAGAGAAATAATGTCAAAAAAAATCCAAATGATGCTTCGTCATCGACGGCAAAAGCATGAATCGAGCGTCATCAGAATGCAATTACGCCACGTTTCAATTAAGGGGACGATTATATGTAATGTCTAATATTTTATTTAAATGTGAGAAAGTATTAATGTATTTTTTTTTTCTTTATTTGTGGAGGGATATGTAACGTACTTTTTTCTATTTATATAAGTAATACCATATTTCTTTAAATATTGTTTTCTTTAAGTTTCTAAAAATATATATATATAACTTTTAACAAACAATTAAACTTTTTATTTGATTCGCTGTTTGGATTATAGTCGTGAAAAATTAATTTTATTAAAAAAATTATTTAATAAATAAACTAAAAAATAGTAAAATAATAAAGTGGAGACATAAATAGTGAGGTAAATCAACGTGTTATAGTTTGCATTTTTCTTCCCTTATCTCATTAAGATTGTGCTTATTGTTTATCTTTATATATTACCTTTACACAATTTAATTATATAGATATTGCTTAGACTTGCATATTTCTTTTAATCCGAAAAATTATCCATTTTTTGCCATAAACTCTATTCATCCCCTCCTATAGGGTCAAAACTTGGGTAACACTTGGTATCAGAGTATAAAACTTTATTTAAAGACTTAACTATCTTAGACTTCGATCATGGCTAACAATAGTGCAATAATACATCAAGAAGGCCAATCAAATAATAGACCTCCATGGTTTGACGAAAATGATTACAATTATTGGAAAACCAGAATGAGAATTTTTCTAAAAGGCCTAGATGTTGAATTTTGGGATGTTGTAGAAAATGGAGATTATATCCCTTGAAAAATTGTCGAATGGAAAGATGTCCCTATATCTAAAGCGGGTTGGGATGCGAATGTTTGAAGAATGGTTCAAAATAATGGTAGAGCCATGAACAATCTTTATTGCACATTAAACAAAGAGGAGTTCAATATAATCTCCTATTGTGATACAACTAAGCAAATTTGACAAAACTTGAGATTACCTACGAAGGTACCAACCAAGTTAAGGAGACCAAAATTCACATGTTAGTGCATAAACATGAACTATTTTGCATGAATGGTAATGAATCAATTAGTTAAATGTTTCCTCATTTTACTAATATCATTCATTAATCATTTGAAGGCTCCTAGTAGAACTTATCCTATGTCCAACAATGTGAGAAAGATTCCTAGGTTTGCACTAAAGAATTGGAAAGCAAATGTGACCGCCATCCAAGAAGCTAAGGATCTTAACACACTTGGTCCTGATGAACTTCTTGATTCATTAATGACTCATGAGATCAATATCAATCTATCCAAAAGAAGAGTCTAATTCTCCAAGTGAGTCAACAAGTGTGCCAACTAAGAGGGAAACTCCTACATGTTTCCATTGTGGCAAGCTGGGCTAATTCAAAACCGAATGATATATATTCTCATGCTGTGTTGGTGTCATCTTAGAAATGCTAAGAAGGAGGTTGACTAGTATGAGCTTATTATTTCGATGAGATGGGAGGCTCGAGCGGTCATTTGGGAAGAATGGTAATGGAGGTGTTAAGGCGTGGTATTCTTGTGCTGAGGAGTAAGATGGTTTAAGGTATGGTTCGAACATGGATTGAGAATTTTGGGTACTTGTCATTTGTAGTTGAGCGTGTGATGGAGTTATGCACTTGTTGAGGCAATGGTAGGTTGTTTTATCTCTTATGAAATTGGTTCCACTTACTTGATGCGCAAGGAAAACCAATGTCAATAGTGTACCCACCCAGTATCTACCTGTGTTGAATGCCTGTGTGGTGGTCAGACCGAAGCATAATCACCGCCGGAACGATCTTGATCTTGTGATGTGTCTTCCTCCAATAGATACTGATGTGTGTTTTCTTCAATGATAAACCACTCACAATAGTACGAATCCTTGAAAGATAGGGCTATATTGAGGGTGTCAAACCTTAAGGACTGCGGCAGTTATGCTGTCCAGATACTAGGATTATTTCTAATTTAATTCGAAAGAGAAGTTTTAAATTTTAATTTAACTAATTATTTAAATCTAACTTAAACTAAGTAATTGGAAAGATTAATAACTAGAGAGTCTAAGGTATTGACTTCACCACTAATCTGCCCTCCAATGGCAATTAGACATATTTTTAGGATATTTT